AAGGGAAAGAAAGGGTTGTACATTTGAGTGTGTCAGTGAATAATTTAGGCATCACCTATACTTGAGAATCCTGGGTCAATTGCCATATTGGTTGTGGCACTGATAGATGGCATAGATAAGTTACCTATCATTTCTGTGACTCAATTTTGTCATATATAAAATAAGAGTGATGTCGTGGGTTTTGCCTCATAGGATTATTGTGATGATTAAATGAGCTATTGCATATAGAACATTTGGCATAGGGCCTGACATACAGAGTTCATCAAGCAATGATGAAGTGTTGGCTATTATTATTATTGTGGGTGTGGGCTTCAATTCTTTTTTAGCCATCTTAGTTTTATTGTGGCACACCTGAGGCCTGGGAGCTCATTATAGGAGGATACATTCAATTGTGAACATTTTCCTCCTTGGACTCACCCATTTATTTATTCAACAGATGTATTCATATATAAAATATGTAAAAATGTATTGAGCACTTAAAATACTCTAGGTACTGTTTTGCATGTGGAAATTTTTGAAATGGTATATAAGGTCCCTGCCACATAGGTTCACACTCCAGCAAGAGAATTTGAATCAGGCCAGAGGGCCAATGGAGGATGAGAGGAACTCTGTAAAATCCCGACACTTGAGGGGCAAGTGGAGAATGAGAATCCAGAAAATGCTGTAGAGAAATAAGTGAAACTAGAAGACATTAGTTCCATGAAAGTCAAGGAAAGAGAGTCAGAAAGAAAACAATTCAGACAATGTTGGATGTTTTTGACAATTCAAATAAAAAAACAGAAGAATCCTTGGGTTTGATAGCATGGAATTCATGGGTGACCTTGAGAAGAGCAAAATGCAGTGAGTTTGGAAATGAAGAGGTGGAGGTGAGGATACGAAAGGAATAAGTCTTAGTTCAGAATGCAAAGACAATTTAGGAAAAAGAGCCAGAGGAAGAAAGACGATTAAGATACAAATAAAGCAAAATTGAATAGACAGGAGTAAACACAGATGGAGACAGGAGGGACAGGAGGAAACTCTGAGGTACGAAACAGGATGAACTTGAATGTGGAGAGGTCAGAAGTTGCTTAGACTTCAAGTTTGGTGCCCTTTTACATTCTCAGTGAAACTGGAGCTGAAGTCATCTGCTAGGAGTTTGGGAGCTGTTCTGAGCACTTGACTTAAGAAGAGTGAGTTTTAAAAGCCATATTGAGCAAGTGGAATAGAAGATTATTTAAAATGAGAGATAACACTATTGGACTGTGGTAGAATCTAACTGAAGTTTGGAAATTCCCATGGCTAGAAGTAACTCTTATACCCCAGCTTTCTAATTCAGAAGACCTAAGCCTGTATACACCACTGCATCAGACATTTATGGCCAAGTTTATCTACACACATCTCACAGGCTGACTAAAGAGAACAAGAAGCTGGTATTGTGTTCAGGGACATCCTTAGCAATGTTTGAGTTTATAGGGGTTGCCCCACAGGCCTCAGCATCCCCTTAGTCTTTCAGCCTCTTTTTATGTCCCCTGGTCCCAGTCTTGAGAGGAGCTATAAGGGCCCCACTCTGCCTGGATAACCATGAAGCTCCTTCATGAAAGGTTGGCCTGCCTTTGTTGGACACTAGAATTAGAGGCTATTCAGGATTCTCTGAGACACAGCCAAGGCCAGTATTCCCCTGAGTGATCCTAAATAACCTCTGAGAGAGAGTTGAGGGGTGGCATCAGAGAGTCCTGAATCTCACTGAGCCATGGAATCTGTCTGGCTCCAGAGATGAGCAGAGTGGAGGCTGGTCCTGCTTATCCTGCTATCTGGTTAGGCTGGTTCCAGCAGTAGAGTGTAGGCAGAGAAACTCAGTACTGGTAGTACTCAGTTTGGGTTCATGAAGTGATTCCTGTTTATCATAAAAAGAGGGGCTGTGGAAAGTCCCCATGAAATGAGCTGATCCAAGTTAGTTCTGCTGCACAAGCACATGGAGCTAGAGTGACTCCCCCATAGAGAGCAGAGTTGAGAGCCTTAACCCTACTCACCACCACACTGCATCTCAGGTCCTGGGGCTATGCTGAGAAAAAGCTCACCTACACAGTGGATTTCAAAAGGCCTAGGCAGTTTCATTGGCTTGTACTAGATAGGGTATTTAAGAAAGTCCTCTGATAAGGTGACATTTAAGCAGGGATATGGAGGAAGTGAGAAAAGGAGCCATGCTGATAACTGGGGGAAGAATTGGCTAGGCTGAAGGAGCAGCAAGTGCAAAGACCAGAGTCTTGAGCACGCTTTGAGTGTTGGAAGAAATATCAAGGCGGCCAGTTTGGCTTGGGTATGGTGGTCAAGAGGAGTGGTAAGAGATGAGATCAGAGATAGAGGGGCAGGTTAGTGAGGGTGGGATGGCATGGGATAGGTTGTAGACTATTATAGACCATAGTTAAGAATTTTGGGTTTTCCTCTGAATAAGAAGCCAACCAGTAGAATTGCTTGGACAGACTTAGACTGATGTACTTTTAAAAGGATCACTCTGACTGCTCTGCTGAGAATTGACTGGAGTGGGATAAGGACAAAAGCAAGGAGAGCTATTGGAGGATATGGCAATAATTCAGGTGAAAAGTAATCGTGGCTTGCACCAGAGTGGTTGCAGTGAAGGTGCTAAGAAGTTGGTGAAATTCAGAGTTTATCTCTGAGGCAGGAGGCAGAGCTGATAGGATGTGCTGATGGGTTGAACGTGTGAACGTGAGGTGTGAGCAAAAGGAGAGGGGAGGATGATTCTAATGATTGTGGCTTCATAGATTGTGAAGATAAAATGAATTAATTCATGAAAAAAATTTGAACCGTGCCTGGCAAGTGCTTAGTGAGGGCCAGCCGTTATAGTATTATTGGATAAGTTATGGTGGAGGACAGTAGTTTCATATTTGCTGCTTACAATCACTTTCCACAATAGCTTGTGAACTCTGACATATCCCTGGTACCTCTATCTCAAGTTTCCTCCTGTATTTCCAGGCAGAATCACAGAGTACAAGGAGCCTCTTAATCTACAAAATGAGGATAGTAACCTCAACCTCATAGGATGGTTGTAAGGTATAAAGGGACACACATGGATGATTTATAGATGCTCAGTAAATGTTATTCTTGTCCATCATCTAGACCTTTGCTACTGAAACTATGGTCTGTGGCCCAGCACCATCAATACAGTATCACCTGGAAGCAGTTAGAAAATCAGAGTCTTAGCTCCATACCAGAGCTGCTAACTCAGAATCTGTGTTTTAACAAGATCCTGAGGTGGTTTGTGTGCACATTAATGTGAGAGAAGCACTGCTCTAGAGTTTCAAGGTCATCCAGTCCAACAGTCTCTTCAGGGTACAGATGCAGAAAGGAAGACTAAGAGAGAGGAAGAGATTTACATGATGTTACACTTAGTTTTGTCAAGACATCTACATTCCAAGCTAGGGTTCTTTACACTAAAGTTTCAGAACTGTCTATAACTCAGCCTCTCTGGGTAGGAAAGGATGGAGAAAAAGAAGAGGTCCTATTTTCTAGGAAAGGACAGAACAGAATTAGGAGGTACCCAGGGTATCTATTTTCATTTTAATCTCACAGATGATTTCAGAGGGCCTTAAAGTACATTCATGTATTTATTTATTTATTTATTTATTTATTTATTTATATTTAATAAACACTTCTATACCACTATGTCCCAGAAATCGTTCTAAGCTCCTTACACATATGAGCACTATTTTGTATATTAACTCATATAATTCCTAAAACAATTCTATGAGTTAGGGATTGTTACTTTCCCTATTTTACAGAAGAGAATCCTGAGCCACAGAGTGGTTAAGTAACTTGCCTTAGGTCACAAAGCCAGTAAGGGGCAGACCTAGGATTCCAATTCTGGCAGTTTTCCCTCCTACTAGGTCTGAGCCCACAGTAGCCTATTCTGGTCTCAACTCTAGCGAGGGGACAGATATGAAGTTCATTTAGGACTTTTTCTACTTCAGCTTAGGGCCTATTCAGCCCTTTCTCACCAAAGACTTTTCAGCTGCTTTACTGAGACCCCACCCTGAGCTGGCATATAGCCTCTGCCCAGTACAGGAGGGGCCCCTCAGAGACTGATAATGGCACGTTTCTTGGTCCTCTCCCCCATACCTTGGCTCAAGCTTTCCTTTTCCTGTAAGCATTAAACTATTTCCTCTTTGACCTATTTTAAAACCTCCTAATCTATTGAAAAACATTTGCTTTCCCTGTCAAACTCTTTTTTTTTACTCTCTCTTCCTACCCGCCCCCAAACCCTTCCAGTCTGCACCTCATAGTTTGGCCCTCAATTCTATACTGTGTGCTATTCTCTGTCTCTGTCCAGTCTATTTTATCCTCCCAACTCTGCAAGCTCTTCAAGGTCAGAGACGAGTAACGTTTCAGGATTTATCCACTGCTGGCTCTGAGACCATAGATTAATAAACTCCCAAACTGTCATTGTTTGAAGTGCCCTTAGAGACTATGTAGCTCAACCCCCTCCTTGTACAGACACTCAGGGGCCCAGAGAAGGTGGATGATCAAAGCTGAGTGCCGAATCCAGTTTTCCTTTATTTGTAGTGGTTTTTTTCTCTGCTTCATTTCTGCTTTCTTCCTCCGGTCACAATCCTACCTACCCTTCTGAATGGAGGAGTATTTTTTTGAGGGAGACCCAGACCTGGTAAGTGGCTTCTCCATGTGTCTGAAAATCTTGGCTTTTCCAACAATAATTTTCCCTGTCAAACTCCAAGCCTGCTAAGTCACGAACAAACTTTGATGAGCTGAGCTGCATTCAGCTGTGAAAGAGACAACTTGATGCTTTCTCTGGACCCAACTCCCTGGCCCTCTACTCTCTGGCCCCCGTTTCAGTCCCGGGAGCTTTGCAGCTCCTGCCATACCAGTGACTCAGTCACTGTTCTTCAGCCTCACATATGCCTCTCAAAGGCAGTTTCTTTTTCGTAGCCACGCCTAGGCACTCAAACAGTCCAATAGCTGCTTTAGGAACTTCACGGGGGGGCGGAAAAGGTAAGCTTACCATGAAAGGAAGGTTTGGGATGTTGTTGCTACACATAGATGTGAAATGAGTCAAGCGGAACTTTGATTACAAGGAATTTCATATGCTGTGAGTGTGTATGCCGGCTGGGGGCTGAGGGGCGGAAACTGAGGGGCGGGGCTGAGGGGCGGGGGCTGAGAGGCGCGGGGTGACGGGCAGGGGGTGACGGGCGGGGGCTGGAAGAGATGTTTGCTCTGCGCTGAGGTGGGTTTGTACGGGAATTCCATTTGGGAGCAAGAGCTATCTACTCCTCCGTTACCGGGTGAGTGTGGGAACACCCCCTGGTGTAGCAAGGCGGCTGGGACCTGCGGCATCTAGATGCAGAAGTACAGAATCAGGTCAGGATGATTGTTCTAGGGTATCGCAAAATCAGAACAATTGGGAAGGCGCCCCGTGGCTGGCTGTCAGTCCATCCATTTGTGTCCGGAGAGCGCTTTCTGAGGTGCCAGGGATCTGGGCTGACATCTCTAGCATCTTGGCGAGCCAGTTCCTGCAGGCTCTTACTGGACCTGCATTGCCACTGGGAACATGCCTGGACGTGTCCAACAACCTTGAGCATCTAGGGTTGGGAGATGAAGAAGAGAAGGAGGCTGGGTGTTAGTGAAGGCGGGGACAGTGAATCAGACTTGTGGAGCATCCTGAGGAAAGCAGAACTGCTAGCCCGCGTGGCTTGAGGGCAAGTCAGGGCTTGTGTAAAGAGCATGCTGGCTCTGTTTGGGGGCTTTCAATCCACCCCCTCACCCGCCGAGCTTGGTTTCACTTGATATCTCATTCCTGGAAGCTGAGCCCCTGGCAGTGTTATTTTGATCCTGCCTCACCCCAAACACTGGCCAAGACCCAGCAAGCTGCAAGAACTGGGGGACAAGAAGGGACCCGGCAGAGACCAGGCTAGGAAAAGACTTCAGGGTCTGACTTAGACAGGTGTTGGCAGTGTTGGCCAGTATCATGCTGGGTGGCTGTGGCAGGAAAGTTTGGAACATCTTCCCTAGATAACTCCTCTGTTCTTTCCTTCACCCCAACTTACCTTCAACTCAGCAGACTAACTGAGCACCTAGTCTGTGCCACCATGTGTGAGACACTGAGATGTCTGTCTGAGACCTAGGCTGTGCCCACTGGGGCCTGACAGTCTCATCCTGGATATAAAAACACAGATAAATATTAATATAACACAAGAAAGGTTTTAAAAGTTAAATCAAAATGCTTAGATGCTGCCAAGTAAGGATCATATCAAGTTGAACCATACGAAATCAGAAAAAGGTTTTTTATTGTTTTTTTTTTTAATTGTTTTTTTGAAATTGTAACGCCTTTCAGGCCTCCAGAGCTAGACTATTTGAGGTCAGATCCCATATTCACCATTTATTAATTTGTGTTACCATGGACAAATAAACTTACTTCTCCCTTTCTGAGTTTCTGTTAACTTCAGGCTAAAGAGGATAATAATAGCACCCACCTCATTGGGCTGTTGTGAGGATTAGATGAGATAATCCATATAAAATACTTGCACACACTTAGCACAGTGGCTGGCCCAAAATAAACACTCAATAAATATTAACTATTATTATTTAAGGTAGACTGTGGCACACAGATAAAATTTCAACAGGTGGAGATAGAGAAGACAGTTTAAGCAGAGAAAATAACAGGAACAACTGCTTTAAGGCAGGGAAGCTCAGGGCATATGAAAAGAACACCAGCTGAGGTGGATTTTAGAGTACAATTAGTGGGAAAATGGAAGTTAAACTTGCCAAGGCAGATTGGTGGTAAACTGCAAAAGACAGTGGATGCTAGAGTTTTGATTTGATTTGGCAGACAATAGGAAGCCATTGAAAGTTTCTGAGCTGATCGAGACTATCCTGGCTAACACGGTGAAACCCTGTCTCTACTAAAAATACAAAACAAAAAAAAAAAAAAAAAAAAAAAAAAAAGATCCTCTGCTTTAGGAAGAGTAATCTGGTAAAAGGTTAGTCAGCTGGATTGGAACAGGAGAACACAAGAGGTGGATAAACTAGGGGCAGAGAGGGAACAAGGTCCTGAAACTGAGGTGGTAGCTGTGGGAATAGAAAGGAGGTGATGAATTTAACAAGCCATCACAAAACTTGAATCTACAGAACTTTGTAATTCATAAATTATATGGGATTGAAAAAGGACAAATGAGAAAATCAGAATCTTTTTGGGTTGGCTTAGACCTTACAATGTTGTGCATTCCCATCTCACTTCTGTGGATAATGCAATAGAAAGGGTGTGGACCTTCTGAGCTAGACATATCTATTTTCAAGTCCTGGGTCGGCTATTTATCTGTTGTTTGTGATCCGAAGCACATTATGTACCTGACATTCCCAACTAGGATCAGCATTTCCACAAAATATTTAGAAGTATGTGGTGTGTGTGTGCGTGTTGCCAAACAGATGCAACAAATAATTGTTCCTCCCACCCACCATGCCAGTAGTTAGCCCAATGAGAAGTAGTCAAATTCTTTAAGCCTCAGCTTTCTAACCTGAAAAAGAGGGATAATAGTACTCACATCATGGTGTTATTGGGAGGATTAAAAGAGATATTTCCTGTCAAGGGTCTAGCACAGTGCCTGACAAGTAGAATTTCATGAATTGTAATCTTCCTTTACCCTAATGGGCTCCACATTAAAATATCCTTGCCAGTCTCTGCTTGAACACTTCTAGAGGGAGGTTCCTTACTGCTTTCTGAGAGCGCCCATTCTCTTCAGGGAAAGCCTTGGACTGTTAAAAGTTTTTCCTTTTGCTAAGCTGAACTTAGTTTTCCTAAAGCTTGTACCTGGATATCCTAGTCATTCTCCCTGAGGCCACCTAGAGCAGTCTGTTCTTTTTCTTCCATGACAGTTTTTCAGAGATCTGAAGACCAGAAATCAGATCCCCCTGCATCTTCTGCTCCCAGATCAAACAGCTCACATTATTGTATCATTTCTTATCTGTCATGGAATCAAGTCAAATATGACTCTGTGGTTTCGAAGTATATAAATTGGGGTATGAATATGTCTTCATAGTGATGAGAAATACTGCAAAAGGAACAGGATGGGTAAATGTGACAAATTTCCTTGTAATTTATTATTTTTTTAATTATTTTTTTCTGGTCAGGCAGGGTGGCTCATTCCTGTAATTCCAGCACTTTAGGAGGCATAAGCGAGAGGAAGGCTTGAGGCCAGGAGTTCAAGACCAGCCTGGGCAACATGCAAGACCCTGTCTATATAAATTTTTTTTAATTAGCTGGGCACTGGACACTGGGCACCTGTAGTCCCAGCTACTTGGGAGGCTGAGGCAGGAGAATCTCCTGAGCCCAGGAGTTTGAAGCTGTAGTGAGCTATGATCATGCCACTACACTCCAGCCTGGGCAACAAAGTGAGACTCTATCTCAAAAAAAAAAAAAAGAAAAAACTTAACATAAATCATTTTTTTCCACTATGTGCTAAATACTTTCAAATCCATCATCCCACTGCTTCCTTATCCTCAACTGAGGGAATTGCAGATTTGTTTATATATATATTATACAGGTGGCCAAACAGGTCTCAAGAAAATGAAACTTGCTAGAGATCATTTAGTTAGTAAGCATCTGTGCCAGAACTGCAAGACATATTTTTCTTACTCCAAGTTCAGTAGGGCTTTTCATTTTCCACAGCTGTTAGGGTTTAAGGTGATAGATAGCTGGGCAATTATGCAAACTCTGGCACTAAAGAATCAGTCAAAAGAAAGATGGATCCTCCAATTAACTTATACCAGTTATTCCCTTTTTGAGAGAATTCTTTTCTTTAGATGTCTTCTTAACCTGCTCCCCTCAAATGCCTCCTGCAGAGAGTGAGTCATCTTTTGGAGCCGTTCCTCAGTGCTGAAGCTTCATATTGAAGCAGAAGTTGCTTTTCACCTCTTTCTTTCTAGAAACTAGCTCCACCCATGTATTCTTTTCTTGGGAGCTTAACAGGAAAGATATGGGTCAGTTTCACCATCAGTACATAAAATACGACTATTATTATTTTGTGCACATAGATAGGAGGATGGCTATACTCTGTCTTGGATTAGAGTTTACTGTCTGTATTTTCTGTGTTCCCCACCAGACCTGCAATCTCCTAAATTTGGAGAATATAGTTGATTCACCTCTGTTTTTCTCTCTTGCCACTAAGTTCTAATAGAATGCCTAGCATAGAAGGTACTCATCAAGTGGTTGCTGAGTGACCATAAATTAATTATCCCTATTTTGGAATGACAACAGTTATTATATCCTCCAAACACCACCAAAAGACATCATGCTATTCTCAAAAAGAAAGGAATTTCCATGTAATATATGGTGGAATCAAACAGTGAGATGTCCTACTTCCAGGAGATTGCTAGTCACCATTGTGTATAAGCCAAAAAGAGTGGGCAGCACTTCTTCCCTTCTACGATTCACCTCTCCATGACCCAGCCTACCCTTTGGAATTGTTTCTGTTGAGGATAAAATGAGCCATTATTGGGCTGTGGGAGGTAGGAAAAAGAAGCTGGAGTCTTGGTAGTATAGTCACTGAGTAACTGGTCCTAAAGCTGGGCCAACTCCTTTCTTCGTATATGGGAAGTAGAGAAGCCACTGGGCCCTGAATATGCAGACTTGAATTTTGCTTTTAGCTCTACCATTGAACACTGTGTGACTTTGGGAAAATTCTATCCCTTTTCTGAGCATTAGTTTCCTCATCTTGGATCATCAGGGAATGGGGTTAAGTTGTCCCGAATAATACTTTTAGGATCCCATGACTATATGTTTTCAATTATCTGATAGTTTGAAGTTTTAACTGGTTGCCAAAGAGAAGGAAAACAACAACAACAACAACAACAACAAACAACAAAAAACGATGGAATGTGCTGTCTTATTAGTACTAAGGTGCCTGTTACTAAAGGACTTCAAGTAGAGCTGGATGGTATTTCTTTACTGGGCAAAAGGCCACTGGGACGAAGATTAATTTTAAACCTCCCTTTGACTCTAAGATTGTCAGAGTCTAAAAATGGTCTCAAAGAATGTGCATTTACATATGAGGTCATAGGCTTCTTGTTATCAGTCTCATCTTCCCTCCACAACCT